CATGCTGGGCTCTGTGCTGACAGCTCAGAGCCTGGGGCCTGCTTTGGATTCTGTGTCTCCCTCTCTCTCTGCCCTCCCCTCTCATGCTGTCTCTGTCTCTCTCTCAAAAATAAATAAACATTAAAGAAAATATTTTTTAAAAAAGAAAGACAAGCTCCTGCTGTGGATCGGTCCTGGGTTCTAATCCCAGCACCACCTGGTACTAGTGTCCAGGTAATTAACTTCTCCGAACTGTGTTTCCTTGCTTGAAAGAAGATAATCATATCTTCTCACAGTGTTGCTATACGTAGTGCGTGAGATATCGTACGTAAATATAATTTATGTCTCTCAGTAACTGTTAGTGCTAGATGAATTTTCGCTGGAGCACTCACTAGGAAACTCAGGTAAGAGAGCCACAAGCTTACGAGATAGTTAATTCTAATAAAAAATAGAAACAGCACAGTGGTGGTCCCAGTACTGAGTTTCTCTTCAGAATTAAGGTGAAGAATCTCTCATCTTTGGTGGAAAGATGGGGTGGGGGAGGGGATTGTGAATGTGGTTATTTCGTATTTTTACATTGGATAGAAGACAAACGAGTTAATCCTCTGAAAAGAATTGGACGTTGGTAAATTTCAGTGTTTTTATTCCTGGCTCATTATTTTTAAAAAGTAGGACATGAATTCCCAGCCATGTGATCTTCCCACTTCCAGATTTATTATTGGAAATAGTACTTACTGCCTGTCACTGTGGACTTCTTTGGTCTTTTTTTCCCCCCTAGTTTATTTATTTATTTTGAGAGAGAAAGAAAGCACGGTAGGGGCAGAGAGAGAGAGAGAGAGAGAGGCAGGGAGAGAGAATCCCAAGCAGGTTCTGCACTGCCAGCCCAGAGCTCAACACAGGGCTTGAACTCACAAACTGTGAGATCAGGACTTGAGCCGAAACCAAGAGCCGATGCTCAACCAACTGAGCTACCCAGGCGCCCCTGCTTCTTTGGTCTTAATAGCAACCTGGTGATATGCAGAAATCATTAGCAGCATTTTATGGATGAAGACACTGAGTCACAGAGAAGTGAAGAACTCAGACTGGGTCACACAGCTAGGAAGTGATAAAGCCAGAATTTAACTCAGCGGTCTAACCCCAGCCCCAAGGGGATGATGGCTTCGGCAGCAAGCCTCACAGTGTTCAAGGATCTTTTCTCTTAGCTACAGAGACAGGAAGCAGCTACAGTTCCCTTAAGACCTGCTTGTATGGTATTTTATGTTAGGGCATTAGAAGCGCAAAAGGACGAGAATCTGGGGGCACCTGGGTGGTTCAGTCGGTTGAGCAGCGAGCTCTGTATTTCAGCTCAGGTCGTGATCTCACGGTTCAAGAGATTGAGCCCGTCAGTGCAGGGCCTGACTGGGAGTCTCTCTCCCTCTCTCTGTGCCCTTCCCGTGCACACTCTCACTCTCTCTCTCTCTCTCAAAATAAATAAATAAGCTTTAAAAAAAGGGAAGACATCTGTGAGTACTAGAGTAGTCAGGATTGGCTACTTGTAGATCTGCATTATGACTTTCATGGGCCTGTTAAAGAAAACCCCGAAATATTAAACTTTATGACTGTGTTGGTGTAGAGATTAATATAACACAGGCTACATTCACTATCATATATGCATTATTATTATTATTATTGTTATTATTATTATATCCATTGTTCTCTTGTGATTTTTTTGAATGTTTATTTAATTTTGAGAGAGAGAGAGAAAGAGTACGAGCAGGGGAGGGGTAGAGAGAGAGAGAGGGAAACACAGAATCGAAAGCAGGCTCCAGGCTCCAAGCTATCAGCACAGAGCCCAACGCGGGGCTTGAACTCAATGAACCATGTGACCATGACCCGAGCCAAAATTGGACACTTAACCAACTGAGCCACCCAGGCACCCCTGTTTTCTTGTGATTTTAAGAGAAATTAAACTGAAACATTTTTGCAAGCCCCAGGTTCGATGCCCATTGTGCCTGGTGGACAGGTGGTCCCCACCTGTGATAGGCATGG